GCCTATTCCAATTTGAAGTGCATTCTTAGTATGCATTAAGAGAAGACAATATTGGATTGTAATACAAAATATGAATGTATTAAGAGAAAATAGTTAATCTCAACGTAGATTCTGTATATGTTAGTTTGAAATCAAAAAAGATTGACTCGAGTTAGCAGCTAAATTTGATCTTTAATATCTCTTGGCATATGATAGGGGAAATTTTCTTATAATAATTGCAACATATATCACCTATATAAATAAATAATTCCTTGAACTTTTCTTACAACTCTTACCTCTTTTATCATATATGTTTTCATCATAAAAGCATGTGTTTTTGTGTTCTTCAACTTTGCAGTAATTAAATAGATATAGTGATAGATATATTCATATCTATTTCTATCTATTTATATTTATATTTTATTAAAATTATGAAGGCCTTATCGAAATATTGTTCACCTTTTTACCCTTAAAATTAAGATATTTATTATAAAAAATTGTAATTGTAAATAAATTATTGTCCTAATATTTAGGACTTGGAAATCAACTAGAATTTTGGTTATTGAATATTTCCTTATTGAATTAGGTAGGAAGTTCTAATATTTAGCAATCTGTAATCTATCTCTTTTTGAATAACTTAAGCCAAGTAACAATTTAAACAAGATTAACGCCTCTACTTACATATACAAAAAAATCTTGTGTTCAGCTTTATGGACGGGTTTTCCTCGTCTAAGTTAAATAAGAGAAACAAAAGTTAGTTTGATCTAATATTTGTTTCCGAAATTTTCATAACTATAATTACTTTAGGATATTTTAAAATTTAATCTCTTGTGGAAAACTCTGTCAATAAGAAAAATAGTCTAATTAAAGTATTGCTATACACATGATTTATATAATCAACATTTGCTAATTTAGAATTATTAACATTTAATTAGTTAATTGAATTCTTTTTAATGAAATTATTTATCTTTTTTTTTAAACTGAAATTATTTATCTTTTTAAACTCTCTATTATTGAAAATTTGACATTTATCAAAAACCATGAAGGTAATAATGATGACACAATATCATCTAATTTTTTATCCAACCATATCGTTGTCAACAATTTTCAGGTACTTAGTTTACAGAAATAAAAGGCCTTAGTTTACATAATACAAGGCTTGATTGTTGATATTATGTTTGATTTATATTATTTTAAAAAAATAAATTAAGCTACAAGCATATTAAACATGTGACTACAATAATATTTAAACTGTTACTAAACTAATATAGTTATCATTATCGTGGTAAATTCTTGAAATTTCAAAGCTAATTGGTAGTTCCATCAAGGACTGAAATGAATTTTGGATAGTCTTTAATTTTATTTGACCTTTGGGTGAACATGGTAAAGAAGAAGTTTTAGACTCTGCAAAAATAAATCTATTAATTTTTTTTACACAAGAATAGGTTCATTTAGCTTACATATAATTTTGATAAACTGGGGATGACATATAAGATA